ACGGCGGTGTCTAGCAACTCTTGGCGTTTTTTTAAGTCATTTCGCTGGCGTCGGCTAATTCGCTACGTTGTGAAAAAACGGCGAGTCTTTTCGAGTACCGGCGGTAATTGACCTTCGTTTTGACAGCACGATAAGGTACTTTTTCGTGCCTGCTTTTTTGCTTCTTTTCGCGCATTTAATTCAACCAAGTCTTCCTTTCCACCGACCCGATTTTTCCTTTGATTTCTCCGTTTGTCCTCTTTTGTTTTTTAAGGCTCTCAATACGTTCTTTTCCTTCATTTAGTGATCCGAAAAGACGGGAAACCTCTACTCCTTGATATATCTCAGTCTTGCAGCAGAGTTCCTAATGAAACGTCAAGTATAAATCTCTGAAAGCGGCTTTTCGCTCGGTATCAGGTTGAGAGCCAAATCGGTTGCTCAGCCCTCGGAGTTTGCAGCTTTAAGTTATGGCTTTCGGAAAGAAAGGCCTGAGGCGGCTTTCCGATTCAATTCCTTGATAGTCTGGAATAATTTCCAGAAACAACAGAAACGCTGAACGAGTTAGTATCGTTGTGACGTCACTAGACTTTACTCTGACTCTTTTTTCGGCTCACTCCTCTGTTTCCTTGTGATTCAACGCTCATATGATTATAATTAATTGGTTTTTTGTGGTTTGACGCTAAATTCAATAAAATATTTTGGGGACGTGGGAGAATTGTGGGCGTTCAGGTAAAAATTGCAGTTGCAAATAAATTTTTAGTTTCATTTTTTGGAAAGCTATTCTCTTGAGTTCTCCGACGTTCCTTGCTTCATTTGTCTTCCAAATAAATAATACTCAAGTTCTTTCTCAATACGAGAACTAGATTTGTAGCCAACGCAACGTTCAGGCTTTTTATATCAGGGCAATGCTCCGTCTACAAACTCATTTTTTGTGTCACTTTTTTGTAGTAGGGCTAGTTCAGATATATCCAAGCTATGAGAGAAGTTTCCGAGAAAAAACAGCTCACTATGAGAAAGGTAGGAGAAAAATATATAGATAAATAATTTTGGAGAGAATGAACTTTGTTCAGTCTGGATTTAGCTCAAATGTAGCCAAACTGTTTAAATTATTGAAAATAATGGCTACACCTTTTTTTTTTAAATATTCGGCTGAAAATTGGATTTAAAAAATGGACAAAAACTGGCATACTTCTATCACCACTACTGGGGTAAAAAATGACTTTAGTCTCTTTAGAGAAGACCCTTATGAACTATTGTCTCAAGATAAGACCCAAGCTTCTTTATTTCCTTCTCAAGTCAAATCTAAAAATGAACCATGAAGTTTCGATTAACAAGAGAGGCAATTTCACTTTGCGGTCGGGACATTTCTGGAAATTTGTCACAGTATTCCTTGAAGTACCAAGTCAGGGTCTTGAAAGTCTCAATTTGCACAACTTCCTAGTTTTCAAGGAGTAAGAGCTCGAAGCTCAAAAAATGGCCTTTTTGACTGATTTTGAAGGTTTCCTTTGACTTTGAGTCCTCATTTCTCAAAAACTAGGAAGTTGTGCATCCTGAGGCTTTCAGAATCCTTTTTTGGTACTCTGAGGAAAGTTCTGACCGGTTTTCAAGAAATTTCCAACCGCAAGGTAAAATGAATTTCCTTTTAAGGATTAAAATGTGTGCGCTTAGAAAACAGCATACAAAGAATGGGTCAGCTCATAGAATATAAAAAATACTCAAAAAACGCCTCAAATCGGACTATATTCTTCCCGAAGGACGTTTCAAAATGACGTGCTTCTATTGGTCGAATCAAACCGAAGTCGAGAAGATGGAAGAAAAGAGAGAAAAGAACAGCACGTGGGGGTTTTTGTTTGAGTGTTGATCGGTTGAAGACGCTTTTGGCAGCGATCTGAGATGCGTGTGAGAAGAAAGTCACTCGATCATCCGTCCACCGTTTCTTTCTTGTTTTCCCGCTTCTCGACGCTGATTTTCGTGCTGTTTTTCCTGGTCGGCGCCAAGTTGCGCAACAAACGTCGTCGTTTGACCTTTTGTCCGAGGAATCGAAGCCGAAATCTGAAGAAAAAGATGGTTTTTTGCTTCCAAATGACATAGTTTGATAGCAGAACTCCCCTAGTTTGCAGATTTTTCGAGCTTGTCTAAGAAGACTCATCGATTAAGTAGTCATCTTTTTTCACTGAAAAATTGACTTTTTTTTGTTCAGCTCTTTTTTTTCAGCCATTGAGACAGATCATGAGGTTTCGAATATTGTTACACTTTTTTGAAAATTTTTTCAACGAGTTCTTTGGATTTTAACGCTTTTTCAGTTTATTTTTCACTTTTTTTGAGAAAAAGAATTTTTTTTTGATTCTAATTTATGGGTAAAGTTACATAAAAACTATAAGAATAATCAATCCTAAACTTCTAAGATTCTTAACTAGATCAATCTTCCATTATTTAAAGTTTAAAATGCCCACTTTCTGAAATTATCGTGTATATTAAAGGCAACTTGTCGTCAAATCGAGCTTTCGGGCTTCTCAGCAACTTTTTGCACAAAGTAAATTGCATTTCAATGCAAAAAGTAATAGGAATTCTCATTTCCTTTTTATAATTTTTTTCTCCGATTTTTTCTTTGAGAAGGATGCAGAGCTGTACGTTACTTTGATCACAAATCTCGTTCTCTCGACCCTTGGACGACTTTCTTTCCGCTTTTTATAATGTTTTCATCCCAATGCCAGATCAAACTAACGCAAAAACCGAATCACCTTGATGTCTGGCCATTTGACTGATCAGCAGTTCTTGAAGTTTTTGCGAGACTCACTCAATCCCATCGTGTTTTTTTGGGTCGTCAATTTCCTTACTCGTACGACTGGCTCAGCAAATTAACAAAGTTGCCAGCATTTTTTGACGATTTTTGGAAAAAATATGCGCCTTTCGGTTGAACCTTTGACCTTGGGTAGCCAATAAATCATTTACGCTAGCGCCATTTCTCTGAAATTCCTCGTAAACAACTGAAAAACTATCCGTTTTTGAAGAAACTCACAGATACTTGATCGAATTCTCTGGCCCCACAACGTCTATTTCAAAGAAGAAAAAAAAAACATCTCGAGGGAGAAAAACAAGGTCTTTTCGCATTTCAGTTACTGTAGGGGAAGTTCCTTTTTGAGCTTTTTTTTTTCTAGGTTCTGTTATTTTGCAGAGCCTTGCAAGCTCATGAGCGTTCTCTCTTTCGACTCTCCCAGTGAGGTGTTCTTATTCAACACATGTTTTCACCTAGCTTAATCAAGTAGAAGACGTTTTTTCTTATTATGCAAAAACGATTCTAGAAATTTGAAAACAACTTTTTTGTGACGTCGAGAGAAGAAGCTCATTAGGGAATAAAGTAAGACTGGAGATGAGATGAAAAGATGGCTAGATTAATGAGAGCTTTGAAAAAGCGTTTTGATAAACTTTTTGGATTATTTGATAATAGTTATTTCACATTATACTTGAGTCTATTGGTTCATCATTAGCTGAAAAATTTTCAGGCGGAAGCCAAAAATTCTCAAGTTTTAACTAGCTAAGAAAAAACTTAGAAATAAAAGGGTTTTTTTTAAATGCATTGATTGCAACTCAAAAAAATCTCGGCATTGAAAGTTTTTTTCTCATGTTTTTTTATAAACAGAAGACTTCAAATTTTCTTTTTTTGAATTTTTTTGAACTTCAATTACTTTTTTTCATGGTGTAACTATCACCCTGGCTCCAACTAATAAGCCACTTTCACTTCTCTGAAAAGACCCTGAAGAAATTTGGATATCTTTCTGGAAAAAAAAATGAGAAACTTTTCGAATAGAACTTTCGGTATACTCATTAAGTACTTCGGAACTTCGGAAATGATGGAAAAACGGCCAACTTCCATATTCTCCTTGTGAGCAAAGTTATGGCTCCAACTGGCAAGGTTGCTCTGTTTTCGGACACTTTCCGCAATCTTTTACGGCAGCTTTGGAAGAAGCCTCAGCCGCATAGGTCGAAAAGCGAAGATCAAATAGACCAACTCTGAGAAGGGCATGATCGGTTGGCAGGCGAAACTCGTTTGGAGGCAAGTTGGCGGAAGCCTCAGGGACCGTCCTCTGGCCACAAATCACCTGGTCGATGGCAGTGCTGGACCGTACCTGCCGTCGGTTCTTTCCAAGCAGGGCGGAGTCCCATAACCGATTTCAGTTTTTGTTTTTTTCCTGCCGCCCGTTTTTCGACTGCTGGCCTCGTGCCAACCGTTTCGTCGCTCCGACAAATTGCCAAGGCTACTGTAGGCAAAGGACGAAAAACAATCAGTTTCCGCCTTGAGATGACTATTTCTAGGTGAAACGATGTATTTCAAAACATCTCGCCGCTCGGTGAAGGCTGAATTTTTTTTTTGCCTGTTCTTAGACTCGAGTGTTGGTCTTGCGACAGCCGATGTCATCACCGATAGAATAACCAGGTGATTGGCTTGAAACAGAGGGAAAATGAAACAGTCTCGGAGCCACTTTGAGCCCGCCAAAATATTGGAAATTTTTCGATTGAGTTTGTTGAAGGCGATTTTTTTTCTTCTCTACCTAAGTAGTCATTCGTGTTCCTTTTCTTTTCGAAAAAATAAAATTTCTGAAAATTTTTCCTTATTTTTCTAAACTCGTGAACCTCCTACTTCCCTAAATGACCAAGTAGATCCTCAGAAGAAACCAGAAAACGATACAGTTAATTTTTTTCAAAACTGTCTATGTTTCAGTTTTTGATCTGCTTTGGAGATATGAAGTTTGAAATTTTATTTTCTCACAGACACATTGGCAAAGAATGACGAAATTTAGCATTTCTCAATTATTTTGAAGATTTCCTGCACCCTAGACCTCAAAAAATGAGAACATTGCGATGTTTATCCTAGCTTAAAAAATTTAATTTTTTTTAAATTTCAAAATTTATCTCATACCCGGCCACCTCAAAGGTTTCCCTTAGAGTTACTGTAACCTCCAAAAGAAGTTTCGAAATGTTGCGCGACTGGCGACGCGCCAAACCCTTGTGTTGGCGCGAAAATGAGGGACGGCAGTCCTTTTTTCCTTCTCTTCGAGCGACGGCCCTCGTCTCTTCGGAATGTTCTGGAGAAGGAGGAGTTGGGTCACACGCCGCGGTACGACGGTCACTCTCACACGAATCGGCATGGCATATCGAAAGGGAATCGTCACGACGAGGACGACTTCTTGATGCGTCATACACCGAGGTTATTTCCATGAAGACGCGGCAAAACCATTCCGGTGCCTCGTAAATTACCTCGGCGGACCTCCCTCGACGATTTCTGTAGTTTTTACCGTGCGCAGATTTGAATAGCCTCTAGGTGAGAAGGTTACGAAACGAACTTTGGTTCAAATTTTCCTTCAAAGGTTGGGCCTCAACACTGAGAAGAGCAAGACTGTATGGATGACATAAATAATTGGACTCTTTAGGCCTTTTTGCAAAGTTTGGCTTTTGTTTCTTCTGATTTTAAGTGTAACTTTTGTTCTTTTTGCTTTCAAATATGATTTCAATTTTTTTGATTTCTCGGAAGCTTCCTCAGAAAGACCCCCTTCTGCATATGTGCTCCACAAGAATGTCAAAAATTTCACTGGATTCAAAAAAATTTTTTTTAGAGTTGGAGAATACTATAAAAAAAGTCTTTCTTCTAAATCTTTTTTTCTAGATTCTATGTCTCTAAAAGGCTCCTTGCCTAGTATATTTGATCGCCGTAAGCAAAAAAATTTGGAAACCGATTCGATCAAAATACAGAAATTCCCAACTTTTCTATGGCTCAGTTTTTTTGTAGTATTTTGAGAAAGTCTTGAAATTAAATTTTTTGAGAGAAGCCTGCTTTTTTTAAGTAGCATCAGGTAGAAATTCGAATTCCTTAACTGAAAGTCGAGGTTCCCGCTGAGCAAAAAATTTATTAGGAGATTTTTTTCATTTTATTGTTGAAATATTTATTTTTCACGTTTTTGAAATTTTCCTTAGGACACCACATTTATCATGCTTCATCGTTTCTGCGCTCAGCGCGGAACTTGAAATCCCACTTTTATTTTAAAAGAATTCAAGAGAAAAAAGGCATAGGTTGAGCAGAAGCCGAAGAAGCCCCGCCCAACATAGAAAAAAAAAGCGTAGAACGCTGTTCTTAGTAGCGACACGCCCACTGGCGAGTTGCCAGGAACGCTGAGTGCCGCTGCCTAACGAATGGAGGCGTGGCCGTTGACGTCAAGGGGGCGCGGCTCGAATCTGTCACCGATGCTTGTAAGTTGTCAGTTGGGCCTTGTGCCGCCGTGCCAGCCGGCCGGTCTTCGGTTTCGTTCTGGTGTTCCAACTGAAGAATTGTGTGCGAACAACACAATAGGCCACGCCCTCCCGCTCCGCCCCCATTTCGCTTCCTCTTTATCACGATTCCCACGGTTTCTGTCCGTCACTTTGCTTTTTATCGCTGCTGTCGATTTTTGTTGCTCTCCTTTCCGAGTGCTCCTTGACTTCAATCATTCATTTGCAGATAAATTCACGCCTCACCACTAGAAGACTCGAAGATGAACCTTCTCATGATCATCCTCATCGTTGCCTCTATCTTGGCCTTCGCTTTGGCACGACCACAGTACCCCGACTACAAAGGTGATTTTCAACTTCTACTCTCCTCACTATGACTGAAATCGATCTGGAAAATGTTCTAACTGAGTCCTTCTGCAGATATCGATGACGAACGCTTCCATGACGAACGCTACGACGACGATGGCACTGGCGTCGTCGTCGACAAAGTCTACGCGACTCCACGTCCCAACAAGCACGGTCACCACCACCATCATCATCACAAGAAGTACCTGAAGACGAACCGACTCGAGCGTCTCAAGCGCTTCTTGCGCCTCTGAATCCACCGCCACGTCTTCTGATTGCTGACGACGTCGCCGCAACGGTGCCGGGTGACACCGCCCTCGCCGCTTTCGTGTCCTTGGTAGCCGATCATCATCATCGTCACCTTTACCGAAGACCTTTTATTATTCGTTGTGTTATATTTTCCTTCAGCTGTTCTTCTGACCTTTCTGGCTTAGCCCTTTTTTCCTTCTTCGGCTCTTCCTTAACTTTGACGGGCCTATAAGGCGCTACCGTCAACTTCCCGATACTTTCAAAATCCTACGACACCCAAGCTTTCTGGTAACGATACTTTCATTGTTGAATTAGGGCCTGCCCAACTCTCTCTCATAATGTCTTTCGCTAGAAATCTCTTCTCCATCTCCATTGACTCAAAAAACTCCTTAGAAGCTTCGCAAGTGCAATTTCAAGTGCCCGAAAAGCTTAAAAATGGATCTCGAACCCATCCTTGTCATTACATTCTCACGAGTTTTGCCAAAGCGCAGATGCCACTATGTTCAGAAACTACCCGATTATTTTTCCCACTTTTATTCAGCATTTGCGCGCTGACGAACTCTTCAGATCCGGTTTGACCGATAGAGCTCCGTTGAGCCTAGCTCGAATTGTCCTCCATAGAACCGACTAGCTAATTATAATATCACTCGAAATATCTATAGAATATTTATTCCGTTTGTTTTGTTGTCGTTTGCAAATTCTATTTTACTTGAACGATTCGTTTGATGAAACATCTCCCTTCTCGCATAATCACCTTTGTCTGCATATATCCGTTGCCTCCCATGTAATCCGTTGCGCCGCACACAAAAACTGCTCTCTCTCTCTCCCTTTTATTTACATGATCTCAAGATTACTGTAGATTTCGTGTAAAAACTTTCGAAGCCTCTGCTCCCAGTTCGGGGCTTTCGCTCAAGCGGAAGTTCTATAAAAAATTCTGAAATCGAATAAAAATTTTAAACTATGGGACAGTGTTATTTAATGCAAAATGAAGAAATACAAAAAGTGAAATATTTTTTGAATATTATTGAAAAAAAAGCTGCTACGGAGATAGCTTTAAGAAACGCGATGATACGAGATAATCGCTTCAATTTTATCAGTTGTTATTTATAGGAGGAGCTCTTCAAATCCACAAAGATTCTCTGATCTGTGGATAAAAATGGGAAGTTGCCAGAAAATCTCAAACTTTGTAAGACTTTCACTCATCAAAAAGGTTAGATATGCTCTAAAACAAAATTTATTAGAATTCCTATGCAAAATTAGGAATTTCTTTTCTCGAAAGCGGTTGATAACCCCCCCGAACTGGCAGTTGTTTGTCGGCGGGAGGTGGCGTGGACCAAGCGAGAATGTTTAACTATTTGAAATTATGCCAAGGCCACCCGTGTTTGTTGCATCGTCTTTACTCTTTACCTGCGGATGTTGCGGTCGAGTTTTCGCTATCAAAGGAAAAAAAGAAGTTGCAGAGAAGGTAGAGATGAGAGAAGAACTTTGTACGGGTTTCGAAACGCATTCCAACTCGGCCCACATGTTCTGCCAGCCTTGCCAGCAATTTCTCGATGGGACGAAAATTCAGCTTTTCCTCAGTAACTTCTACTTTTTGAAATTATTTGAATTATTCTATTTGACAACAGGGGTCTCCAAATAATTAATTTCTTAACCCTTAAACTCGTCAAAAGCTGAAATTTTCCGTAAAGCCTATTTTGATACAAATTACGAGAAAGCTTAGTGAATTACAGTTGGAGCAGTCGCTTCGATTTTTGAAAAAAAAAATATTTTGCTTAAGCCGAATTTTGTCGATTTTTGTGACGCACCAAAAACTATGTAGTTTGAAAAAGCGAAAGTCACGACTAATTCAAAAATTTTTATCTCGAAAACGAACTGAAATGGTCTGCGAAAATTGAAAAAAGTCAATTTTTCCCATTTTTCAGAATTTTTGTGAGGTTCTCAAACTCAAAGGCTATCCTATCGTCACATTATTTCTTTATCATTTTTTTTATTTCAATATGGCCTTTATGACATGACTTTGAAAAATTTCCTTATTTTTAGAGTAATCACAATTTCTGTTCATAATATCCAACAAAAAAACAAAAATTTTTTTATCAAATGGATCTTGTGATTTTAACAAAGCTCTCGTTTCAAAGTCACGCTGAACAAATCCTGGCGTGCTTCAAGCCGCAAAAGATGGAAAAAGTATCTCCTCATAGTTTGAAAGAAGTCGAGAGAAGCAAGGTGGGATCAAAGACTGGCTTCTCAGGTTGCCCTATATGTTTTTTTTGTGTTAGAAGAAGTCCACGTTAACCTGAGCCAGGACGTACCGCTAACAGTCCATCGGAGGTACTATGCAGTGCCGAGGCCCCGATTGACCTTCTTTGGTTAAAACTGAAAGAGAACGGAACCCACTGGCACGGTTCCAAAAGTTGGACGTTGATCGAATTAGATGCAAGGACCGAGTCAACGTTGGCGAGCACCCAACTGACGCTCGGATCTGATGAAATTCTCACAGCACCGATCAACATTTCTACGGTACCTTTGTCTTTTTTGTTGACTGGCTCGATATGAAATGCCGAAATGAGGGAAACGCATGGACGCCTGCCAGCCAGTTGTTCTTATCACAATATGGAAAATAATCCGGGATCATGGTAGCAGGCAAGATCGAAGTGTATTATGACTTCACTTTTTATTTTATTGGGTTTTTGAGTATGCCTTCATATAGCCTATTTTTCGCGAGCTTGTCACGAACCAAAATTTTCTCTGAGCTTCTTTCGGTGCGCGTGACCTGCGCCTTTAATATAACTGAAACCTTAGACCAAAATAAAAGGCGCATGAAAAGAAGAAGGCCGCACGCATCGAAGGGAAGCTTCCCGGAAGGGTTCTGTAGTTCGGAATTCGTAACAAACCGGCGCGGAATAGGCTATATTAAACGACTTATTGAGACAAGTAAATTTAATAACCTTCGTCCAAGAGTTTGCAACACGAAAAGGCTGACACAGCGTCCGGCGCCTGAAGCTCGCATTTTTGGTCAGGAAAAGCTTTGGCAGATAAGACATTGGCAACGTTTTCACTCATTTGAGCGAAAGTGGTGCCATCAGCAGCCTTATCAGCGGCGGATTCCCATAACTTGGCGCGAATTCTCATTTTTTGTGGCAAGAACAAGAACAAGGAACTGCATCAGTCAACGTCGTAAAAAATAGTTTGTGATAAGAAAATCTTCAGAAAAGTCTCTCGAACTTCCAAAGAAATTCATTTCCTGAATGCCTTCGGCTTTCTACCGCACGAGAGCCTCTGAAAAGCCAGGAAAACTTTTGTGGTTCTGAAAGTTCTGAAGTGATACTGTGGAAGAGTAGCTTCTTATCAGTTGTAACAAGCAACATTTAATCAACAAGTAGTGTCGAAAAGCGCGAAAAATAGCCACACGAGAGCTTATCAGTTGCAAAGAAGCTTATCTGGTTGGAGTAGGCCTGGGCGGATGATTTGTAAGCCAGAACCCGGGGCTCGCTTGATAATTCATCGATATGACCGCACGTGACTGTTCTTTGGAAATCTAATTGATCATTTTCTGGTTTCTTTCAGTGGCCTACTACTGAAGTTTTTTAAAGGGAGATTTTTTTAACTATAAGTTCAGAAGTTCCTAAAAGTGGTGGAAAACTGTCCGCTGTGCAAGATAAAGTTCTTGAGAAACTCCAAAATTCGTAGTTTTTGAAGCGTGAAAATTCAGTCGATCCCAAAGATCGACCTTTGTTTGAGAATAACTTCTAGAAGACTCCCAAAAGTGGGGCGAAGGCTTCATATTTCCTTAATAATATTCCTTCAATTCACCAAAACTTGAAAAATCCTTTTTTCTGAGCGGTGCCCTCATTCCGCTTTTTCTAACGTTTTTTTAGTCTTGAAAAAAACGGCTCAAAAAGTTTTAGTAGTCGAGAACTACTTTGAAAAAAGCGGCTATTTTTTGAAATATTATGACTCTTATCATCCGGAAAAGTGAATAATGAAACAGTATCTTTTATATTCCGCCTCAAAATCAAAGAACCTAAAAACGTTGTTGGGCATCTGGCCAGCTATTTTTCGTTAACTAATTGGCAAAATTCCACACGCAAGGCTGAACCCATCACCTTGGCAACTTCTGATTCGTTTCGGCATTTTTTACGCTGTCTTCGGTAATCTTTGACCGTCCACGGTTTGACATACTACCTGGCTAGAAAGCGAAAGGTGTTTTTCTTGGAGAATAAAAGTGAGAGGAACTGCCCCAGTTGTTGTACCGGAAGTTGAATTTTATTCACCTCGAAATGTAAAAAAATCTGTTTTCTTTTTTACGACAAGCGGCCGACTTTCAAAAACGCATCATTAGACGCATTTCTTCGAAAATAAATTTCTAGAAAGTTCTTTCTAAAATATGAGTTCTATTCGTTGGAGAAGCTAATCAAAATCAAGTTCGAATTTAGCGTACCTTGGACGAAAAATATCGAAACTCAAGTTGACTGTTTCTTTCTTCGCACAACTTCAGGACTACAAGGTACACCACAAATTTCAAATTCTTTACAATTCGATCAGAAATTGAAAATGAATGCAAAACGCTCCAACTACACATAAGACACAAGAGAATAAACGCAAATCGTGTCAAGATCATCTTTTCAGCTCAAATCATCGGAAGAAGTAAATCTGAAAAGCTTGTTTAAAACCCATATCCTCCAGGGAAAGCTTCAAAAATGAACGTTTTTTTCGGAGAAATAATCTCAACGGTTGACCTCACGGAAGTAATTTATTGGCTAGAAAAAAAGTGCTCAGAGGGTCAGCGCTGACTCATTTTACCCGAAAGATTTGCCGGCAAAAACTTCTCAAAAAGTATTTCGAAAAAAAGCGAAATGTCCAGGCAGTAAGACAAACAGTTATGTTTCGCAAGATTCTAGAAAAGTTGGCCTAAATTTCGCGCGGCGACAAGTTCTTTGTGTATTTTGTGCACGTGCACTCTTGGCAACGGCATGGCACCGAGCTGACCACTAGAGGGACCACTGGGGCCATGAATGGATCTATCAAAAATTATAGCTTTTATTTCGAAAAATTTTGGTAAAATAATGGATAATCCTTAAAAAATCAATATTTTTCGATTAATTTAGAGGTTTTTTTTTTAACTTTCTGACAGGGAAGTTCATTTTACTTGGTGATTTGGAGCAAAACTAATTTTTTTTTCAAGATCCTCAAAACTTCCTGATTTCCTAGCGTCTGAGAGCTCAGGATACCTAAGAAACGAAAAAGAACGTCAAAATCCGTGGAAATCGACTTTTCTCAACTTCAAACCCATATTTCTCGGAAACCAGGAAGTTTTGCAGGTAAAATTTCAAAATTTGCATTTGATGTACTGAACATGTAGTTTTTCTGACCGATTTCGAGGAAAAAACTCAACTGGAAAGTATGAAGATTTTCCTTGTAAAGCTTTTTTTTTTTTTTTAGAATTTTCAAACAGAAATTAGGAATAATTCAAGTTGTAAAGTTGTCCAAACCAAAAACTTTCTTGTTCGATTCAAAAAGACCACCTACAGTATTCGATCAGAGTGCGGAAATGTGAAAGCTGACGTCAAGCTCCATTTCTGCCGGAGCCCGACACGTTCAAAAGACAAAAACGATGACGGAATCAACTCGACAAAGAAAAAAACAGATGTCAGACCGAATGAGAACCACAAAAAAACTTTTCGGATGGTACTGGCTGTCACTCGAGTGACGTCACTGTCAGCTGGCGCGATGCCAGCAAAGTGAAGGTCGTGAGCTGAGCCATTCTGCGGGCTACAGTAGCCCAATGACTCGGTTTCGAAACTTTTCGAAAAGAAATCATAGGCAAAATCAGAAAAATCTTTCGAATTGCTAAGAAACAAAATTTTCCTAGAATGTTTCACAAGCCCAGTGTGAAAAAAGTCAAAATAATTTTTTTTTTTTTGTAATATCGGAAATGCAATTTTTCTTCAAGGGTTCCTTAAAAGATTCAAAATATTTCTTTTTTTTTTTCTCCTTTTCCAATTGAAAAGGCTTTTTCGTCAACTTTTCATTCTCTTTATTCTTAAACGTTTGGTCTTCTTTCTCAAAAATAATGTTGATTTCTAGTGACATCCGTTTTCGACGAAAAAAATTCATAAAGGTTCCTTATACGGTCTTTTTCCCTGATCTCCGATATTTCTAATCTTCAAGCTTTTCTCACTTATAATCAACATGAATCACCCTCATTTAGGAAAACTCCACAAACTCCTATTCGATAGGTTGACTCAACAAGAATGTTCTAGTAGAAATGCGGGGGTGCGCCTTCAATTCACACCAAAAGTGCCTTCCGAGTCGATGATTTTTGAGATGAAAACTAGGTTTTGGAAAATTTTTCAAATTAAATAAACTTCAAAGTAGTTCTCGAAGCGAATAGGGATCTGCGGGGGAAGCTAAAAGTCCATTTTCGCCAGTATTACAAAAAGTTTAAAAAAAGATTTTTTTTAATTGAAAAAAATTCGAGTATAGCTTTTTTTAATTATATTATGAGAAAAAAACAACTTTAGAGCTTTTTTTCTGTCTGTCAAACATTATCCTTTAAAAAAAGCGCTAAATTCCTGAACTTGGAGCGAAATTCTGATTGAATACTCTGCAAAAAAATCTGAAAAGAACGAGAAAAAAATTATTTTAATTTGGAAAAACTGATTACTCCGCGTTTCCTTTAGCTTCTTGAATAAAAATGCGGAAATGTTCTTTATTTATTGCTTGGAATTTATAGCTTATAATTTGACTGTTGCAAATTCGAGAAAAATCATTAAAGATTTTCCTTAACACATCATAGCTCTCTCGAAAAAAGAAAAAATTTTAATCGCTTTCAAAGCTTCAATTTTTTGCCTTGTAAAATCTTCTCAGAGAAATTTTTATTTACAGATGTAATGAAAGTCGGAAAATCAAGTGGGGCAAACGGAACTTCCAGCCGAGGGGATGGCTCCTTTACAGGTGCAAGTGATAGGTTCAACGTTTCCAGTGAGTTTGCAGTGACAGCCGTTGTTGTCGGAGTTGAGGGCAAAGTTGTCGCTAGAACATTCACAGGCAGTGTTGCCGGCGTTCGGCTTCATGTTCGTCGGACATTCGCAGATTTTCTTGGCGACGTTGATGATTTGATTGGAAATCGGACAACTCGTCGGCAACACCCCGGCGGTCGACGTTCCTGTTGGCGCGCAAGCCTGCAAAACTTATTTCTGAGGATTTTGTCGGGTTTTATATAATTTTATTACGTTCATGCTTTAATGATAACTGCCTGGTCTTGCGCGAGAGAAAAGCTATCTCGGTGCGTCGGACTCGCATTTCTAGCAGAAAAATTAGAATTATCCAAAATGCGGGATCGCGGCTTCAACCCAGCATTTTTGCGAGACCGTCAATGTACCGCCAGCGACATCGCTTTCAACGCGACAGTTATTCTTGGTGTGAATCTTTGCTGATCGAAAAAACTCTCGGATTCAGTTTTGACTGACGATAGACCTAACTAGGGGACGGTTGCCAATATATATTCCTAGATCTGCTCAAAACTCACTATATTCGAAGACGACCAGTACAAAGATTTAAAAAAATTTCCTACAAGAGAAATCAGCTAAAAAAATCCGAAATATAGAATTTTTTTAAATTTCAAACACACTATCTTCCAATACCCATGAAGTTTAAAAGGTATTTTTTGCTCTTTATTACTTTTACTTAAGCCAATTATGGACGGAGTTTTTAATTTGATTGAAATAAGATTTAAAAAAGTCATCAAGGTCCTTTAAAAAATCGGCATTTCTGTTCAGTGCTTGAAACATTACAAGAAAAATTGTTTCTCCGAAAAATTTTCTGTAGAAAAACTCTAAAAGTCTGCCGAAGAAAAATTGCTTTTATAAGTTTTCATCCTTTACTTATTTCAGAAATTATTCATATTTTCAATAAGTTGAGATTCTACAGAAAATCTCACGTGAGCAATGCCGACGCACAAGAAGAGAACAGCGAACATTATTGTTGAAGTGAAGGAATAACTTCTGACGGTGCCTTTTTCTGTGGTTTCTTCCTTTTTATAAGGCTTCTGCTTCTGTAGAGCAATTGTTATACTTTTCGCGGCAAAAATGGAAGCTTCATGGAAGTTTGAATAGGTTGCAATAAAGAACGAAACGATTTTTTGTACTATCGAGCAAACATTCTGGGCGCTTTACTCGATCAGCTAAACAAATATGACAAGGATTCTCACGATCACCGTTCCTGCAATCATTTTGATCTCGGAAAACATTGAATATGAAATGAGTTGGGCATTTTTCTCCTTGTTTCTTTGGAGCCGAGAAGAAGAGGGGTGTACTTTTAAGGCTTGCATGAAAAAGCTACGTCAAAAAGCGATTTTTCGAGCCAGTTCCTTAACTTCGTGTTTTTTTAACAACGAAGCTTGACGAGCGCTTTTTGTGCTACTATGAAACGATTAAAATCATATCAAATTCCAAAACAAAGCCTCAAAAATGCTATTGAAAAAGACCCAAGACATAAATCTTGATCGGTTTTGCCACTGAATTCTAATTTCAATTTGTTTATTTTTTTTCGCAACATCGGGATGGTATGGTGATGTTGCAGGGAGGGAAAAAGACCACTAGGTGGATTAACTAACCCCACCTGTGAAGAAAAAAAGTTTTTTTGTGTAAGAAAAAGAAACATAGAACCATAATAAGTAGATATTTAAAAACCAAGTTGATCATGGCACAAATCTGTGAACACTTGAAAGAATATGCTCGACGCCAACATCTTCTGCATACACTAAAAAAACATGTCCTTAAATTTTTTTCTTGTCTTCCTCTGCCAATAATTCATGTTCAATGTCATTCCAAACATTAGTAATGCGGTGTGATAAGAAATTGAAGAAAACCAGTGAAGGTTTCGTTTTTATTAATTTAAAACCATTTCCTCTGAGCTGACTGGGACGGTCAAAGATGTTATGTACCTGGATGGGAGAGTCTGACCAGCACTTATTATGCAAAAACTGATGTGATAATACCAGATCCTTAAATTAATTTTGCAAATATTATGTTTGGAAGAAAATTTTCATTTGAGAAAACTGTCCTGAATTCTAATGCGGCTTATTTAAAGGCTAAAAAAATTTTTTTCTTTCAAATCCTAACTTGAGCTCAAAAATTGTGACAGGAGTAAGCTCGTAAACGCCCAAAATGAGAAAATTAACCCGTATATTCCCAAAATTATTAAAACTTCAACTCAACTTCCTAAGAAGAAGAGTGAAGAGCAATCTTTTCTGAAGACTGGATAAACTTTTAAAACTGTAAATAGGTCGGAAAATTCTTTTTTTTCAGGAAAAAAGCGACTTTAGTCATGGAAGCTCTACGTATCAAACAAAAATGAACTCGAACTTAAAAAAAAAGGGCTCTTATTGTTTCGTGTCCCTTCGAATTTCGCCAAGAAACCCCCATCAAGACAGTTTACTCAAAAGTCAAAAGGTCATCTTCGGTTATGACACCGCGGACCTCATTGATAACGGAGGAAAAGGCAACACTGACACGGTTCTCCCGTGATAACTGACACGAGCTCTGACAATGTTGCATAGTTGATGGATGCGTTATCAACGGTCCATTACTGTATCTGAGTCCGTTTACTTTGTCTTTGCCGAAATCGGCGGTTGCGCAATGGCGAGGACGTCTTCCACTAATTCAATAGTATTTTTTCGCCTTCATTTTACAGTTTCTTCCTTATTAATTGACACATTCCGAAAATAAACTCGAAGCTAACAGTCACTTAAAGACATTTTATTTGAAAATTAGAGGCGAATTAAAAAGAAAAACGAAAAGAATATGAGCAAGGGGAGTGATTTTTCATAAATTTGCCTGTATTTTCAAAAAAATTTTGAAGTTAGAACCAGCTAAAGTTTCTTTTTTTCGTTTTGGTTATATAAAGATGCACTGTTTTACCCACACGTAAAATTCTAGATAGATTTGAATATTTAAATTTCCCAAAAAAACTTGATTGAGACTACGCGAGATTTTTCATCTAAACCTTTTTGAATTTATTTTTTTAGAAAAAGTTTATAAATTCCGTTCAAAAAAATACTTTCATTAACTGTTCTAGAACTTTCAGAATCAATCAACTGACTTAGAAATTGACAAATTTAACTTTATGATGGAAGAAGAGTGGTAGAAATGAACAATTAACACATGTTCTATGGAGGGACGATGACGTCACGTCTAAAGGACCACTTCGAGAACTGTTTGGAAGGATTGTGCAACACTGTCAACGAGCACTAGAGTCCAGGTGCGTATTTGGCAAGATTACGCCTGTCTTTGCCCTTGTTTGGCCCCAATAACACTTCTTCATTCTTCTACATTGATCTATTATATAATAATTCCGAAGAAAAGTAAATGTATATTAAAAAAGGTGTACAAAGGGTCTGAAAAAAAACCAGAAAACAATAAAGACTTATGGACTTAAAAATTGATATGAACGCTATTCCGTAGAAATTTTTCTCGCTTTTTTTAGAAGAAATATGAATAGGAATGTTGCGACTATTCTGACAAACTCGGGAGAAATTCATACATTTCAACTATTCAAGGATTTAAAATAAAGATCAAGGATATAAACTTTTTGAAGTCAAAAATTAATGAAAATTGAATTATTGCATCTTTTACAGAATTGAAAAATGAAATTAAAAAGAAAAAGTCGAAAAAAAAGTGTTGTGAAAAGAACATACCTGATTGGCCTTAATTCTGAAAGTAGACGGCCAGTCTCTGATCTTGTTTTCGAAACCATTTTGTTATCTTCATGCCTCAACAATATCATTTTTAAATAAAGAAAACCTTAAATAAACCTTTAAAGGATTGTTGAAATCGCATTCTACAGACTGAGTAGTGATGTTCCGATGACATCTCTGAATAAAACGGAAAAAAAAAGAAAAATTAAAAATTGAAAGTGTTTTTTTTTTTTGGAACTCAGGCACTGACGGCGCGTGTTTGTTGCCAAAAGTGCGCATGCGCGCCGCCTGCTGCGCACGCGCGGGGTGTCTCTTTTGTTTTTTTAGCTTTTCAACTAATTGAAAAGTTTTAAATTTAATATTTTTTTCATGTCTGTTCATCTCTTAACATCGCTCTGCACCAGTTTATAACAATTGGATTGCACAAAAATTTGAAATATCAAAGTTTCACTCGGCAATTTATTTTCATAAATTTGTTTGAAAGTGCTCGGAACAACTTTAAAACGTGAGCAGGAGCACTGGGTAGTATCACAAAAAAATATAAAAAAATATATTTCAAAACCGTATTTCAGTGGAAAAGGCGAAAAAAGAATCAGTACCCCCGCGCGTGCGCGCACCAGTGCCTGAGGAATTTTCATTAAAAAAGTTCACGAAGGCGCGCATTTGATGGGATACTTTTCAACAGGCCAACTCGCTTTTTCACAGACCTTTTTACTTCTTTTTTCATGGCTCTGAAGAGTTCAGTGATTACTTCAGCGGCTTCTGCCCACTTAAGTGACTATTAAAAAGCCTTAGAAACATCTGGGGCACATCCTGCTTACGTTACTAGTGTCTAAGCTCTTGTAAAGCCGCTCGCCGCTTTGAATAAAGTTTTTTTTTTCACTAAATGTGTTCCTCTCAAATATCAGTTCGTTTCGAGGAGGCTTAGCTTTTTTAATTTTGTATTTTCAAAAAAGAATGAAAAGATCATCATTGAGTTTAAAACTGACTCGAAAGTTTTTTTCGTTGCTTTTATTTTTTCTGTTGTTTCATTGTTTCTTTCTCGAATATTCATCTTTAAAAGTATTTTCAGAACATCTCAACTCTTTCTGTGAAGTTCGACGACATCTTCGCAGGATCTTTAATGAATATTTCCGTTCTAAAAGGATGATTTTGAGAGCGGTGACGAAAATAAATCTTCATCGGGGCTGTCGACTCACAGAATTATGACCAGCCAGGTTTTTTTAAAATTTTTTTTTCTTCTTTTTTTCTTCTTTTTTTCTTTTGTTCAAGAAAGTTTTTTTAATTTGCTGGTTTTCGGTTTTAATTTCTTTTTGATCAGTTTTATCCTAAGCTTTTTTTAAGGTTGAGTCATGACGTCTGAAAACTTTTTGAATAACACCTCAAAAAATTTGACTGTATAACCCGACTACGAAACTTTGAATGAATACGGAATACTCGGCACATTTTCAAGAAGCTCTCACTTTGCATCATTTTTCTTTCCCTTTTCATCAAAATACTATTGGAATCTATAATGATTTCGTTTTCATGAACATATCCAATTACTCTTGTCAGGGTCTGGAATAGAACCGACGGCAGAAATTTGTTGGTCGGAAAAACATGGGCCTTGGATAGTATGACACATGGGAGCGAAATCCAACGAGAAGTTGGCCCCGGGCGTCCGTTGTTTACCAAGACATGAGGGTGGTCAGAAACGTGAGAAGTCGCTGGATATCATTGCGCGGGAGCATATTCCTTTGCTTTCAGCCTTTTTGACTTGACACCAACATTTGCATTAATCGCGTTCAAACACACGGTTTCTTCGCCTTGCGTAATGTGTCTTCCATTTTTCTGTTTGCCCATCCATCTTCCCTTTCGAACTTGGCTTTGCATGAAGCTGCCTTTGCGCGACTCGAACCACGGCTTCCGAATAAGTCGCGTCGCAAAGTATAGCTTCTTCTACTTTGGAACTTCTTTCCCCAACACCTCACGAGTAGCTTGTGGTTGGAAATTTTCTGAAAATTGACCTGAATAATCTTAAATTCAGCAGATGAAGATCTTGGGATTCTCAAGCTGCAAAACGACCAGTTTTCGAGAAAAACGCACCTCAAAGTCAAAAATCCATTGAAATAACCTTCATCAAAATTTGAATTCTTTTGTCCCGAGAACTAGGAAGGTTAAAGGTTTTTGGATCTTCACCTGATACATTGAAGAGTATTCTGGTCGATTTTAAAAAGTTTCAAAACGCAAGCTAAAAATACCTTCTTTTTGAGGTTGAACATATTTTTCTTTGTGAGGTTGAACATATTTTTTAAGCTTCAAAATAGAAGTTATGAATGTCTCTAGTTTTTTTCCTTTTTTTACTGGTTTTATAGCGAAATAAAACAGCAAAATGCTGGAATTTTATCGTATTTTAAGTCGATCCTGCCTCCATGAAACTGAAAAGGAGCTTCACAGTCTACTAGCTTCTCTCGCTAGATTTTTCACTAGGAAAATGTGCACTTTTGAACGAAAAATCTTCTAAAAAGCTCTGGTTATTACTAATCATGAAGGTAGAGATAATTTTCATGACTAAAGGAATTTTTAAGAATACCAACCAATTTTGAATTTGGCAATTGAGTTTTAAAAAAATAGCCGATTTTCACGCATTTTCACAAGACTCTTTCTGGAGATTTACAACTGCCATTCTTGATTATCTCACATTTTCATATAAGGAGTTCTTAAAATGTGAGAAAAATTACGTGACCCCTTTTTTGACTGCGTGACATGAAGACATTATTTATGGCCCTAGGATTGGACCAAGTTATAAAAAAACTTCCTTTGACTTTAGCGACTGACTATTTTCACAGAATTTTTTAGAAACTTTTTGGATTTTTTAGATTTTCCACAGTTCTTATCTCGTGTTCAAAGTAATTTCGGAAAATTTAAAAATTTATCTCTGATTCTCGAAAAATTTTGTTATCTTTCTCACTCTCTAACGGCTACTTTAAATTTCGCGTTATCAATTTTAACATGGCATTTACGGAAAGAAAATGGCTATTTTTTTCATACGAAAAAAATCCATTGAAAATATTTCATATACACTCGTACCTTGGTAACGCGAACCGGAAGCGATCCAGACGTGTCGAGGCATTTCTAGTGAGCACTTTAGTGGCGTCAGCACTCTTAAAAGATTTCTAGAATTGCTTAGAAACGTCCGGTTCTCATTACCGATTTCCGAGTATAAAAACTGTAAGAATGTTAAAATTTCCTACAAACTGCCTCTGTAATACCCTTCTCATGATCACACATTTCCCTTTGGCCAACGTTGAGGCGAAAAATATCCCGCTTGCCAAAAATGGGATAACGCGAGCTGTAAATCAACCGATCCCGAATAAGTGTCTTTTACAGTTTATTTACCTTACGCTCGCGCAATCCGCCGTCCTCTCTTATTCTTCCATCTGCCTTTCCATTTTTCGGTTGGTTCGCCTTCTGCCAACGACTACAGTCGGTCAAGTGCGTTTTGTGACTGGCTCCAATCCAAATTCACGTTTTCACTTGATGTTATTTTGCCAAAATTTTCTTAAAACCTATTTTTTATAATTTTTCTCCAGGGTTTCCGATGGCAATCTGATAATAACTTCTTGCTGGGCTGTCCAGGAGGGCAAAGACAATACTTATCCGAATTTCGACGCAAAAAGCAGTTTTCAGTGTTATTTTCGGCCATTCAAAGTTTCTATTCCTTTCAAAACTTTAGCAAGTATTTTTGAATTAACTCCATGACTTCATATTGACCAAACAGAAAACCATTTTGTAACTTATACAAGCCTTTTCATATCTCCCAAACAAGTCCATCAAAAAATTCTCAAAGTCAGTCCAAAGCTTAAACTAAAAAGCCCTCTCGATAAACACCAGATTGGCTATTTTCAGTCAACCGGTTGACAAATCCATTAAATAACGAAATCATTTTTAAACGCATTTGGATAGATGGGATGACAACCGTAACGGATGAGACTCGAACCGGATCGCCGGGGCCAAATCGGCCTCCATTTCGGCAAACTTTCCTGCCTTTGTCATTCCTTGTCAGCTTTTATTTTATATCACGGCAATTTTTTTTCTATAAGATTGAAATTTTTGTGAAGAAAAGTCTTGAAAAGAGATATATTGAGACAAAATTTCGTTTTTTCTTGTTTTCCATCACTCTTAGAAAAGTGTTGAACTTTGAAAAAGAGCTTTTTAGAATTGGGAAAGAAGGCCTCGAGTACTTTTTTTCTTGCAGATAACAAGATTTTCGGAAAGTTTGAGTTTTCGGGACTGATAAATGTATTGTTTTAACTTCTCAACTTTAAATTTGGAAGCTTAGTTTTTAAAAAAATATTTTATTTTTAAGACGAATTTTCATTTTTTCATTTTTTCAAAAGATGCTGAGCCTCATTTGTTTTCCAAAACCGTCTTCTTCCTAGTTAGTCCAAGTTGCACCGTTTTTTTCGACCTTGAAGAAATTCACGGGCCAGTTTTTTTCTCATCGTTTTTTTTCCACAAAGTTACAAAGCCCAAGGAAAAATGCGCGGCTATCAGCGAATCGTCTAATTTATGCCTTCGAATCCTTCCATTTTTTATCGTCTACGCTGATCAACACATCCTTTGCGCCCACTTTTTTACGACCACCCAAACGGCAATCAGTTCTTCTTCTCTCAACGTTGAGAAAGTGTGGATTACGGTATTCCTCTCTGCTTTTTTATCAATTTCGTCATTGAACTTTTGTAGATTTCTATGCGAACTGACTGGGAAAATTTTTAGGGGCCACTATAGAGGCTCGACAAGGACTACTGGGAGAGAACACTAAAGTGGCCACTATTTTCTGTTTTAGTGGCCATTGTAGATGTTCTCTATTAAGTGGCCACTTCAGTAGTTTTTCATCCAGTATTTCTTCCAGTAACACTGATAATTTTAATACAAACACATTGAACCAGTTATGATGATCCATTGACCCTAAAGTGGCCACTAAAATGTTTTGTGGTCTAGTAGTAGCACTTAGACCTCTATAATGGCCACTAATTTGACTACTATAGTGACAACTAAAACGTCAAAACCCTATAGTGGCCACTAAAATTTTCCCAGCGTACCCCGAATTTCCTCTCAAAAAAGCTTTTCATTTTCGGAACAACAGAATTGTAAAGGGAAAGATAAAGAGGAGCCATTGAATAATGCAATTTTGCCTGAAGGGCCGCTTTTGCTTGTTTTTTGTCCGTTGCACAACCAATTTTCCTTTTCGACTAAAAAACGCCTAACCTTCCTTGTTGACCCCTCTGTTGAATTATTTCAGATTCAGTTTTTGAAAAATGGACATTTTTGAAGCTTTTTTTCTGGCGGAATAGTAGTTCATTTGAAATTTTTGTAATTCCTTTGCGCGGAAATAGAACTTTCATAAGTGGCCGACTGAAAAAAGTCTGCAAGTTTTCGAAAATGATATATTTATACGTGGAGCAACACTTTGAGCCGTTCCCAGTGTATATTTAGTAAAATGAGCGGCCGAGCGAGTAAGCCGAAGGAATTAGGCCTCGAATCCTTTTTTTCCTTTTTCCGTCTCCAAAAAATCAAACAAAAAAACCAAACTACCAATTTTTCTTGACCTTGATATTTTATGAAGAGAATATTTATAAGTATATCAAGAGAATACCTCAGATGTAGGACCGATTTCCCAGAAAAATAAAACTTTGACGAAAAATCGGAGTAATTATCTATTTTCACATCTTCAATCGGAATTAGACGTGCTAATCTAGACCTCCTCGGCTGCCCTTATCTCGTTCCAGTTGACATCTTCGTTTTTTGGTGTTGATCCACTCAAAAATGGTCTTGTGAAAAAGGAATACTTGAAAAAATGGAATCTTTAATGAAGGGAGAATTTTTTCATCGGAGAAAAGTTGATATCGTTGGATTTATATTTGTTTGAAAGAAAAAAAAAATCGAAAAAAGCAGTTCTATGGGCACCATTATCTTCAAAAACAGCAAAATCACCTTGTAAGAAACTACTCTTTTTGAGTTTTTTTCAAACAAAGGTTGTTTAATTTAAATACATTTCCCGATTTTTGCCTTCAAAATACTTTCAGATTCACTATTATCAACTTGTTTCCGAAAAAAAATATCCCCCCTTTCAAAAACTTTAATTCAAGTTTTCTTCCGCAAATCTCTTCGTGGAGGAGCTGACGTCACGCTTTACAGTACCGCTAAGTGATTTTGAGTCATCCAAACGGATCACCTGCTCAAATATTACAAAGCCATTACAATCATGTGAATCACATGGTTCTACGTTGAACGTCTCAGAAATTATTGCTTTGCGGATCGAGGTTACTGTAGTCTTGGTCTCTCTTCTGAAATTTTATTATTTTTAAACGAAGTGTAAGTAGTTAAAAAAAAACGGACGCTTTTTAGTTTTCATTTATTTTTTTATGACGCTTTTTTTTTGAACTATTACCGTATTGACCATATTCCAATATGGCGTTTCCAAAAGAGATTTTTTTTTTACGAAAACTGGCTTAAAAAAATTGAAATTTTGATTCATGTCTTTTTAAAAACTGAGCGCGGGTTTTTAGTAGGAGGAAAAAAAGAGTTTCAATTATAAGTGAGCTTCAGGAGTAAAAAAATGGTTCTATGACTTTTTGCTATTTTTCTGGGAAAAATATGATTTTTTTTCAAGTATTTTTTTAAGCGGAACTCTATTTTTTTCTATTTATGAACATATTCTAGCTTCAGAAGCTGTCTTTTCGTGATAGAAGATTCTAAACCATCTTATATATTTTTTGTCTCAAATTTGGGGTAAATGGACTACTCGGAAGGTTTTGAGACCGATTAAACAAGATTAAAATTGAGAAATGAATATTCCTGCTTGTCGTTTTTTGCGCACGCCTTCTGAGGGCTTCGTAACGAAAACTTTAAAAATGCTTTTTCGAAAAGAGAGAAATTAAGAAAAAGGAAGAGCTCTTTTTGGCACATCTCCCAGTGGATTAAGAGGCTGACATGGACTGTTGCCAGTCTGGTAATCCGGTCAGCAAACGGTCGTTTTTTTTTTCCCGCAGGTCATTAGGAGTAGGAGGGTCCGACGGCTCTGATATCCGGCCGAGGCGACGAGGCCCCGCCCACCGCCTCCTTGTTCCGCGGTGCACTACTCCTCGACCATACATTTTTCCCTGGTTATGTCTTCATCAATTCTTCTCTTCTAACACCTTTTGTCTTTCATTTTTTAAGATTCTGTCTGCAAATATTTACTTTTTTTCACAAGCATTTCTAATTCCTTTGCTTCCAGTTCGAAAAAGTTGCTTATTCCTATCTTTAACATTTCTGAAAAACCTTTTTTTGCTTTCATTATTTTTTTGTTTTTTTGCTTTTTTTTCAATTCCTCTTCAAAAATTAAAAAAACCAATTTTTTTAAAGTTTTTTTGCAAAATTCACTTTTGATTTAGATTTTGAGTCCAGTTTTTTTTGGATAGTAGAATAGAAAAAAATGGAGAATCGAGGCTCCATAAGGAAGGTCAGATTATTTTTTTTGACAGAAAAAAATATTTTGATGAATAACTTCATTCAGATAAAGTTTAATCAATATTAAATAGTCTTCGAAAAATAATTTGATTGAATTTGATATATTTTTTGGAATTTTTCGAAAATGAGCACGAAATAGGGAACCATTTTCCATCATAATCCTTTTTGGGAAAACTTGAAGAAATACCTGAAAGAATTGAAGATTACACCAAAGAAAAGATGCTTTTTTTGGCAGCTGATCTAATTACACGGCAAGTTTAGGTAACCATTTCGCACCCCAATCATTTGAGGCTCCTTTGTTCGAATCACAGGCCCCCATTGTCTCCAAAAACGCTATTACAAGGCCGAGAAACAATGCACCCGGATTACCGCCCTCTTACCTGCCCATGTGGGACCATTTGGTCTGTCCTTTATAATACCCCTTCATAATCAGAATAAAAGAACGAAAAAAGTAAGGAAAGCGTCGGCGGAAGCCTAGTTTTTGGGGTTAAGCCGCGGTTGGGCCTAGCACATATTCAATGCAAATTGTGCCTCGGGGCGTCCACTCTCCACTTTGTTGTGTTGCATTTAAGCCTGTCCGCCTCTTTTAGCTGAAAAACTTTGCCGAGCTCTCGTCGAGCAATTATTTCCACTGTTTGAAGTTCATTTTTTCCTCTGCCTTTCTCCAAGCCGCTTCATTGTTTTTCCTTCATTCTCCGTTTTTTCAGACTACATCGCATGGCCCGTCGTTGAAATGTCCTACAAGGTTCCCGCGCAGTTTTTGCTGCTCTTCTTTTTTCAACAAATTTTCGCCGATGAACTGATTTCCACCAGGTGCCAAGCCCAATGTCTACACAACATGGAGATCCGATTGCAGGTGTGTTTTTTTTTTTGTTCATTTCTTTTTTTAATAGGAAGCTGATTTTGGCGTTCCAGTTGATTATAGTCGTCAAGCTTCCGTTGAGAAAATTTTTGTTGAGCTTCTGGGCTTTTTTAAAGATTTTTTGCTGCATTTATTTGTTCTGCTGAATTCTGAATAGGTTTACTGGACTTCAACTAAGTAGGTCTCGCTGTTGCTAATCGTGCTCGGACCAGCCAAAGTCCCAAGCGCCGCCAATGTTTGGGCCAATGTTTGACGTCGATTGTCACCTGGTGGACCGTCCATCATCTCCGCGCATGTCATCGCAGCCCTCTCATCTTCGCCGCCGTTGTTTTTGGACGTTTCCGTCGGCCTTTGCGAACTTCTCGCCGCCTTCCATTCCTCTGTCTTCTGGCCCAATCACCCGCAATTCGCACGTCTCCACGGGTGGTTATCGCTTCTCGGATGGGGTTTGTACTAGCGATTGACGTCTGAAGTTTTTGGTCGGATGGACTCTATTAAGACTTGTTCAAGTGGTGATTTGGCAGATTTGAAAATTCAATCAAATACTTAATTATTTAGTTGTTAACTCAGTGATCGCCTTTTGGCTAAGATAAGTCAAAAAGGAATTTCATAAAATTGAGACGCTCAATTTTTTGGTTCTTCTGCTAAATAATTTTGGAATATATTTTCGGTCGAAAAAAAAAATGAAATTTTATCACCTTATCATCGCTTTTTTCATTGAACTAATTCTCGTCGAAATTGATTAGTTTCACTTTTATTTCTACATCTGGAAGCACAGGTCGTAACTCTGATCAGAACTTATATTTTTCTATTCGAAGTAGACTTTTCCAAGCTCCTAGCTTAGTTTTCTCCCACGCAAATTTCTTCCCTAATTCTGACGCCGTTCAAAGTCAAGCGAACACCCGTAGAGAACCTCCAAATTCGGGCTTCCGGTTGCCGTTGGCCACGCGACTCGCGTATTTCGACAACGAACAAACGGCTCCCAGCTTTGTTCTCGTTGCGCAACTTTTGCACCCATTGTTCGTGTTTTGTGGGAACCAAATGTTTAATTAGCATATGGGTCTTCCTATTGTTCAACCTGACTGGCGAAAACTTGCACTTGAGCGAAAGCAGTTTGTGAAAAAGACCACCGAAAACGATCCCCTTCTCACTATAAAAAAGGGTGGCACACCACAACCCGTCAATTATTGAACACCACACTGTAATTAAAATAAGGACGCCCTCAAATTTTCCGATTTTTCTTCGTCCTCAGCCAGGCGATTTGAGATTTGTGAAGGATTCCTGGAGCTTAACACTCCGTGGTCCATTAGTATATGTGTATATTCGGGCGGCGAGAACGGATTATGCACGTGAGGAATCTTTCCATTAGGCGACCAAAACGACAATTAAAATCGCTTCGTCAAGTTTCTCTCACTTAAGTTGTTTTCGTACCTTTTGATTAGCGTTTTATTTTTATAATTTGTACCCTAGGGATAGTAATTCAGACTTCAGTTTTAGTTTTCTTTGTACTGAATGAAGAAAAAGGATCAATAATTCTTCTAGTCGATTTTTACGATTGTATTCCCAAGTCGCCTTCATCAAAGGCCGCTTAACTGGCATGTCAGGTTAATGTGATCGGGATCGCTTTGGATTACGCAACTCGCGAAGCCGGCCAACCAAAATACACGATAAAAGTTTTGGCGCAAGGGCCCTTTTCAAAAGACCCGCAGAATGTTGCGCAACTCGTATGGATACACAGGTAAACCTGCTCGGGACATGATGCATCGTTTCTGCTCACAGAAATGTTATTCCTAGATGTTTCGTGATTCTCATGAAAGCCTGACCCCAAACATGACCCTCTACCAAACATACCTATACAAAGGAACACAATGGCACCTGACCGCTTCTCCTCTACCGCATTAGAACAGCCAACGACTGTTTGCAACGGCCCGTTTGATCTCGCCGTCCACGCATGACCACTTGGAAGGCCCAGGTTTGCACTGCGTCGTCCACGTTTTATAGTGCGGCTAGTGGGCTTTTAGAAAAAATACTTCACTTCCTCCATTGTAAAGCCGAATGAAGCTTTTCGACATCTTTCGACTTTCAAAAGAAATTCAAAATCCATCGGAATTTTTGAGATTTAGTTACGAACTTTAACGGGAGACAAACATATTTTTTTTAATTGAGAAAGTTTCAGTGCTATTTAGAAGACTTTGGCTTGAAATAGGAAAAAATAGGAAGAGATTTTCCGGAAGTGAGATAAAGATTTTTTGAGATGGTTGGATTGCTCTAGATTCTTTCTTTTTCGAACCGGCCAAAGTTTGTTCAAATAAGCCTATCTGATCCGGAAGCCGCCTGGCAGTAATGGATTATTGACCTGAAACAGCGAAGAAATGGTCGTGAGCCGACGACCGATGAGCTCATCAATCAACAGCCCTGCCGACGTCACATTAACGGTAAAAGGCGGACGGAGACAAAAGGCACCCGCTTTTTTTCTGCGCGTCACTCGAGAGGCTTCATCCCAGATCCTCTGAGGTCGACTCAAGACTGTAGAGTCTTGAAAGAACAAACTGCTTCAAATCAAAGCTTTGAAACTTGAACTTGAGTAGGTTCTAGAGCAAAATAAGAAGATTGATTATGTTTCTGATCCAGTTCATAGTGAATTCTCGTCCATTTGCTACTAGATGTGCAGAGAAAATGAATTTCTCATTTTAGTCAAGTGCCACCAGAGGTCGGAAACGAAAAGGCGAGGCCATAATTATGCGGGTTTTTTTCGACTAGGCCGACGAGGAGCCGCAAATTTGAATTTCCATGTTCCAATTGGAAAGCTCTTTTAGAAAGAGTCTCCTAGGATGGTTTTTTTTCTGATTTCGAGGGCTCAAAGGCTGGTCTGGCGACTGCTAGGTATCATTTTGCGTGTTTATTTTCGCTTTGCGATGATTCGCAACAAGGTCAGGCTGCCCATATGTGGATGCTGCTGACCTCCAGATTCATTACATCCAGTCCACAAGTGTTTTTGGCGTGCCTCATTTGGAAGCAAATCACAAGGCGTCGTGGCCGTCATAAACCCTTTGGTTATGTCACCAAGGGCAGCCTTCACTTAATAATTAGACCTTCATTGAAATTTGCATGGGAACTTGCCGAAATATTGCGCAAAGGACACTTGGCGATGGCCACTCGAGAGTTGTGTCGCTTGAGATTCCAATGTTGGGTCCATCAAAGGCTCGTAAATCTCCGAGGTTTTCTGGCTCACCTCAACCTTACAACAACTTGTAGTAACAGCGGACCTTTAGTGCCCCCGCCTGACAGGTAAATTGACCAACCAACGATGTCGCAGAGTGCCAAATGTTGGTTTAAGAACGGCAACTGTCGTTTCTCTATTACTCTTTTTTTTCATTAACCAATTGACCTTTTCATGGAGCGGTTTCGATTCTCATCTTGAGGCTTTTCCTAGTAAAGCCAGCTTTTCGTAGATTTTTCAAAAGTTAGAAATAAAGATTGTTCCGTGGCGCATAGCTGTTATCCACAAGCCAAAAATACGGCGATAAAACCGCAGATGAGGTACTCGAGGCGCGTCATAAAAACAAGACGGCTCGTGCTTAATGTTCAGTTGTTTGCAGCAGTGGAGGAGCTGGAGCAGCACAAATCTGAGAAGAAAAAATGTCGAAAAGGTTATGACGGCCTCGTTAGTTATATTGGCAAATAGCAAGACACGCGCAACTTGTCTCTTCACTAATTGACTCGTCGATCCCATGGGTACCGTAACAGACGCATCGCGACGGTTGTTAATGGGTTCAGCCTATCACGCGACAGATCTTATCACTGACGTTGTTGGTAGGGAAGACGGAGAGCCGTGGAAAGAAGCGATTCATCGGCTGTTTGTCACATTATTCCTCTTGAGGGCAATTACCTAACCGACTGGCTCGTAAAATCCAAAATTTGTTGATGGTTCACCAAGCTGGAGCCAATTTTGGTCACTGTCCGGCTCAATAACAATCTAGGGACTTTTTCCAATTGAATGGTTTGAGAATCGTTCATGAGAAGAAGGAAAATCAGAGTATTTCATGGTTTTGAAAACTGAGAGAGTTCCTTCAGCGGTTCACAGATTATATCTTGGCCACCTTGTTTTTATAGCCGTTCCGTTCAAATTCACTACATCAGATTGGCCTATCCGCTATTTATATATTGACTGGAAGCCACAAGGAAAGTTCGATAACGATCGCTGCGCGTAAGATTTATGCCCCGAAGGCTGAAATTTCAGAGTGGAAAAAAAGAACTACGAGGCTACGGTATCTGGGAACCGCACTCGTTATTTATGGTGATCGTGTGTCGCTTTTTCTTTTGCTACAGACGACGCTTGTCGATTTTTTCTTTCGGTTGCTTGTCAGTACGAAGAAGGGTTCAAGGCTGAACGGTGTCTATTTTGCACAATAGGTCTTGTTATTCAAAAGAATAATTAGGTTGAGCTTGCTTTAGAAAATTGAGAAAAACATGGTTGATGAAGAACAAGCTCAAGTTGAAGTATTGAGTTATAATTTCGGATAATTTCGGTTTTTTTATTTTTTTGGTTATTTTTCTGGACTTTATTTTTTTGATTTTTTTGGGTAAAAAAATGTTCAAAGAAAGCTAACAGGTCATTTAGAATAGATTGGAACTTGCTTAAAAGTCTTCAAACCAAGTTTGGGAAAATTTCGAATCTTTTAAAGTTTTTCTAGTTCCTCTAGTTCCTCTAGTTCCTCTAGTTCAGTGGAAGAGAGTGTCAAAGTTTTGCTCAGCTTTATCAGAAAAATAAATTCTGCACTAACCAAAATCTTCGAGAAACAAATGAAAAGTTGCTGTTCAACCTTATCCGATTTTTTGCCCTCCTGTCCTTCTGAACGCCATGTGGCATCTGTCGCCAGTTCCGCAGGAAATTCGCGAGGACACGAGTCCGGCGCCGGAAAATCTCCACACGTCGCGACCCACCGGCGCCTTATCATCGTCGATCCGCGGCTGTTTACCCAATTTATGGCAAATGGCGACAATTGCCTCGTCCTTTTCACAGGAATTGTGTACAATTCTTCCAATGTCAAATCTTCCGTCGAACGGCAATTTCGGACCTTTTTTCAGTGGGATTGTTCTAGGGAATCGGTTAACTTCTTGAAAGCAAAAAAAAAAATCGATTTTTTGATTCTGCGAGTCTTTCTAGCTCTTCGGATTTTGTGAAATTTTTAGCGTCAGAATCAAAGAGTTTCGAGATTCTTTTGGTTAGGTATTATAGGAAAATTATCAAAAGGTGTTTTTTTCACCCAGAAAAGCTTTTGAGAAAAAAAAGCTCACTAAGAAATATACTGAAATGTGGATCGAAAATCTGGGATTTAGGTTCAAATTTTCATCTGAAGAGGTAGTAGGGTTATTTTTTTGGGGAAAGGACTCGAAAAATTTTTTTTTTTGTAATTTGCTATGCGTCGATCGGAAGCCTTTCGAGAATGAAAAAAAATAATTTCTCTCCCGATATTTCCTGTGAAAAGTCGTGATCAGAATCCACACGAGATTTTTTTTTTCTGATTTTCTTGAAGAAAAGCTGTTTTTAAGCTTTCTCAGCAAACTTTTGAAACCCTTTCGATGTAGAACTCAGACACTTTTCTAGTCAAGTTTCAGTAGAAATTGAAATTTTGGAAGTTGATAGTTTTATTCTGATCAAAGCCAAGATTGGTCAAAATCTGTGGTCAGACCGCATGTCGTTCCGAACACGCGGTCAGCTCATTCACACGCAAGTCCACTCGAGGTGCGAAGAATGGAGAACACAATAAAGGATACAATACGGCGGACCTCCGGACGCACTTCATAATTCCATTGGCAATGAGGGGCCGAGATTGCTCCCTCCGCCGACACCTCTCTTCTACGCCGGAAGTACATTAGGCAGCTCTTTTTGAGGGAGTTCCAGACACTTCTTTTCGTTCCAGGACTTCTACCGCTACAGTAGGATGAAAGAAAGTACTTGAAAAGATTGATGCAAATGCCACTTAGCGACGTTGGCACCTGTGTTTGGCAAGTGCCGAAGAATCTGCGGCACGATTCGCACCCATTCCGACGCCGACAAAGCGGCTCTAACCTGGGATTAGCTTGAAAAGGTGTTCAAAAAGGATTTTGTTTGCTCTCGAGTCCCGATCCTTTTAGCGGCTTCGTTGCAGAGTTACGCAACGCGATTATTCCGAGATTCCTGGAGACGTTCTCCAGCTCTGCTACTCTTCCAATTGGAACAGCCCAATTAAACATGTCCCTCATTATTAGCGCTCCTGGCGCTTTTGATTGAGCCACTTGGTTGTTTGGCCGCATTGCTGAGAAGCAGTTCCTCTTAATTGAATTAATAAAAAGTTGAGATACTGGAAATCCGACGGAATAGACTGGAAAAATCATATTGTTTGGAACAAATGAAAGGGCAAATCTGGAGATTCACCAATTCTGTTCGAATGGCACCGCATCAAAAATTCCGCTTGAGCTCTACCATCTGGATTCTTTGTGTGTGTTTCCCACGTCTCCAGAATCTTTGAGTTGGATTTTTAATAACGCTTTGTGACAGGCTAAAGCTTCAAATCTCCAGATTTGCTTAGATTTTTCTCGACTCTCCAAACTATCAATGAGCATGACCTCAAAACAATGGGACCCATTTATGGGGAAAATAAGACGTTAAACGTTCAATAGTCTATAATAGGAGTTGGCGCAGAAGAAAAGACACCTCCGGTAAATCGAGACTCTTCTTTTGTTTGAGGAGAAAAAAGGTAGGCCACAATTACCAGTTGGTTACCGGCAGCCCAGGTGCAATTTCCTTGGGCTCTCTGACACAAAAAGAGCCTTATTTACAGTATAGAGCGGAAAAGTTGGTTGTTAATTATCCGCAACTTGCAACCGCACCGCCTAATTGTAACCGTAGCGGTCTGTCAGAGCCGCCCTCTTTGTGTTATTGTAGCAAACCGCGGCAATTGAGCCACGAGCCAGTGAACATCGCTTTTTTTCGATTATTATTGGTTAGCCTAAACGAAGGCTTTGAATGAAATTGGATGGAGATGGAAATTTTAAAACTTATTGGTCGTTTCGGTTTTGAAAACTGCCGGCTCAGAGCCTGTTGTCAGGAAAATTTCACTAGCACTAGTTTTAAAAATTATTGAAAATTTTCCAAGTTAAACTAAGAAAAAAAGTATAAGGGTACGGTAAAATGATTACCTGAGGCCAGAGGTAGATGAAAATTCAAGTTATTATGAAAAAAATCGGATTTCAATAGTTTGATGGTGTCAGAAGTTCGGTTGACTTGTACGGAAAACGGTGATAATTTTAACCCGAAAAATTTAGTTTGGATATTTGAGTCCGAGCTCTAGCCTAAATGATCAGAATTCATTCATTAACTTTGTAAAAAATTAATAAATAAAGAATTTTCAAACAAAACACTTTTTTTGAATGTCAAATTTTGTCATTTTGGGATCTTCAGTTGATCCGTGAAGAACGCTTTCCCACCACTAAAGTTCTACTTGCACCCAGAACTTTTTATGGACTCCAATCATTTGTTGAAGTATGGCGAAAATCACGTGTTGACGAGGCGATCAATCAACCCGCGGCCAATGAATCGTCCGGTTGCCGAAACCGACGAAATTAGCATATTCAACAGACGCCTGTGCACACAGAAGGACCACAGGGCCAAGATAAATTGGCGCCAATCAAAAATCCGGCCGCCGCCTTGGTTTTCCTTTTGCGGGATGACGTCGTTCATCTTGGTTGGCTCAACACCATCGTTTCGGATTCGAATTACGGAGGACGGCTGTTTATAGTCGCGCACTAATAAATAAGGTGAAACGCCTCGTTTCAAAGATTCTCATCTTCTGAGCTCTGCATTTCATTTCTAGAATGGTTTCTCTGGTTCGAGATTTTACTAGGGTCATTGAGGGCCTAAAAATTGTTCAAAAGAGGTCTTGCAAAACAAAAAAAGCCAAGTTTCAAATTAACAGAACATTTTTGAAAAGTCCTTGAAAGCGGAATCAGCTTTTGTGAAACGCAAAGAACCCTGACTTAGTTAGGACATTTCTTATTAAAGATATGAGAAGACCGGTTTTTTCGATAGAATCAACAAGTTGTTCCTCCAAAAAACTTTGTTATTTACATTACCAGTTGGCCTTACACATCGCTGTAGGGAAGGAGAAGAAGTGGCGGTTGAGGTCAGACGCCTTGGAGTTAATCTTCTCCTTCGGAACACCCGGACAGCAGCGCTATTTCGTCGCCGCCTGATGCGCTCCAGTGCACAGCGGCCGGCTGTATTAGGGACACACACCAAGGTGTTGTGACCAGCGTTATTATTATTATTTGTTGGTCGGTTTGACGTGGCGAGAGAGATTTGAGGGGAATGGTCAAAAAAAAAGTTCCGAGTTGATCCAACTTGCTTAACGGTTTTCTTAGAAATTGTGTTGTGAAGTTTAAAATTTACTGAAATTTGCTCAAATGAGGTCTGGACTATGATTCCTTATATTCGCTATAAAGTTGTAGTTATGAATTTACTGATTTTTAACAAAAATTAGACCTAGGGTTCATTTTTTCGAACTTACATTATAAAAACTGAAAATTTGACCAGTTAGCAACTATAAGGGATCTTTTTCTGGTAAGAATTTCAAGCAAACCCTGAGAAAATCCCAAATTTTGAACTAAAACGAGCATTTGAACACCATCCTTCGATTTCCTGACAATTTCGGCAGACTTTTTCCTGCGTGTCAGACGGCATGTCAATTAACTCGATCTAACAAGCGTTTGGAGTTGCGCAAACGCCAATTTCTACGCAATCCTCATAAAGACATATGTCATGGGCCAGTGAACACTTGTTGGCTTGGAAATCGTCGAAGATCTTATCAAACCCGGAAAAAAAAAACCAAAAATCCTTATTTGATATTTTTCAGGATAGCGCCGAGCACAGAAGAAGTCTGAAGCATCACATCATCCAGCTCTGCAAAGATGACGCCACTTGTTCAGCCGTTAGTTTTTTTTTTTTCTAAAACGGAGACGATTTTCTGTCTTTTTGAGAACCATTTCGAAAATTTTGAAGTCTCTCCAAAACTTAATAGGTCGTGCAGAAGTTTTAAAACTTGGAATGGATTTTTGAAAATGAACAATGTCATGACCGGTCCCCATGACGACGCTTTCGATATCAAAAAATTAAATATTTTCGGTTTTAATGAATTTTCGAGTTTCCTGAGCTTTTTAATAATAATAATTTATTCATACACAAGGTGAAAATTGTTTTCCTTAATTTTGAATGGTTAAGAGGTTTTTTGAAACTAATTGAAGTCCCACATAGACATGTATTCAACAAAAACTTTCTCGAATCTATGAATTCGATTTTTCGAGACAGCTAGAATTATTCCATTGAAAGGTACCCTAAACAGTGATTCAAATCTTTCCAAAATCAGAAAAAAGGAAAAAGAAGGCCTGAAATCTCAAATAGACTTATAGCCCAGCTGCAACATTTTCCCACCTAAAATCCAAATGCAAATGCGCGAGAAGGGCTGATCACGGCTTAACCCAAGTTGTTTACCCGAATGCCATCTACTTTTTTATTCGTCTACTCGTTTACTGTGTCTATTGTTTCCCTGTACAAGTTTACCTAGTTGTTTCCCCAGTTTGAAAGGGAATTATGAATGGGCAGAGATTTGAAATTTGAGAAATATTGACAGAGATTAACTTCAAAGTTCGAAATAGATTTCAATGTAGAGAAAAAGTTTCATTTCTTGTATTTTTTTATAGATCTATAGCGCTTTAATGACTGCGAAAAACGCGACTGTGAAAAAGGGGTATTTATTTTTTTTCAAATTGGAACCAATTTACTTTTAAATTATAATTTAGTGACTTTTTAAAAACTGCGCTTTTTACACCTTTTTTTAAAGATTAAAAATAGCGCTTATTATTATTATTTATTTTTTTCTTAATTAGTTTTTTTGTTTTCTGAACGGAACTAGCTCATTGGTTTCGTTTTCCCTAATATCTGGTTTGAAAGATCAGCGGTCAGAATTCGGTCCACTGTAAAAGGAAAAGGAAGCGTTGCTCGGACATCTCATAACAACCAAATTGGAAATCAAATGGCCCGCGAAACCAGACGTCCATTGGCGTTGAACCCATTGTGTGATAGACGGCCAAAAAATGTGCGCCATATGTCTTCGGACGCCTTTTTCGACCAAGGGTACTAATAAAAAAAAGACAAAGATGGAAAACGTCTTCTCGAGATTTTGCTCCTATTCAAAAAGTAGGATTGTGAGAACTTTTTCGAAATATAGGAGACGCAAATTATATCTTAAAAATTACTTCTAAATTATAAAAAAATGAACTTTTTTTGACACATATTTTTTTAAAAAAAGTCAATTTTTTTAAGCTCCTATGAATGAACTTTCATAAAAGAAAAACATAATAATAGTTTATTACCAGATCAGTATGAACCCAAACTTTCAAACTTCGCAAATAGAACCCCAACAGGGCCAAATTCCAAGAGCGGTTGATTCTTTAGACTCTTCTTAATGAAAATTTGTTTTATGACCGAACTAGCGGCCGAAAAACGGTTGGGAATCCTAAAGTTGATACTTAAAGCAATACATAAAATTCCGAAGAGGCGTGGCCTGTAATGAGAGCCGATTCCGACGTACAGCCAAAAGAGAGCCGCGAGCAGATGTCGTCGCACATTTTTTATGGCTCGATCGTCCACATAAAGGATATCTGACCGCGATTTGCGATGAAGATGTGTTTGAAAGAAAGTCTGAAGTATTTATTGACACAACTTGCAAAAAAATGATTTTTTTTAATTTTCTAATCCTCTTTTTCTGGAAATTTATCATTTTGACGGTTCTCACATCGTACAAAAATGTTTCTTTTGAAATAAATTCAAAAAAATATTTTTTTAAAAAAACCTTCACATTCTCTATATTTAAAAAAATATGAATGGTATTATCCTTCACATAAGTCCATCTCCATGAATTTTCTACTTTTGAATTTCAACAAAGACTGAAGAAAATTTCCAACTGTTTGGAGACATCTGTTCCCGGGCGGCGGGCATCAAAACGACGCCGGAGAAGCGGTGCTAATTTTGCTCCGATGCCAATTTTACGATTACGGTAATTGTCGACGCAAGCGAAGGCACGTATGCAGAGACAGTCACGCGCACATGTGGAACAACCGAATTACGATCTTTTTCTCTTTCGAAAAAGTCTTTTTGAAGACGAAAAGACTCTAGACGTCATGATTATCGTCGAATTGTTTTCAAGTGGAAGTCGAGTGGCTGGAAATAATTGAGAGCTTCCGCTAACTTCGTTAACACCGTTCAATGGCGCGTAATAATGTTGTGGCTCGCGGCTGATTTTGACCTATCCAAGCCTGCAATTTCAGCCCAGAATGATTATCCCAGAAACATCACAGTTGAGGTACTTCAAAGTGTGAACTGCGTCTAAAAAAAAATTTTTTTTTCGTCAAAAAGAGCAGAGCGAAATTTGCATAAGGTTGAAAGAAAGTTCCAAAAGTAGCTAGTATAAATAGGCAAGGGATCCCAGAAAATTATAAAAATTTTATTCAACCGTCAGATGAGTTCACAATTCGCGAAATAAGCAAATGTTTTCCCCAATTTTTCAATCTTTTGAATTTTTTTATTTAGCTCAGTAAAAGGCCTACTGGTCCTTGAACTACTTCGAAAAAAGTTGATGCTAAATTCGGCGTGTTTCAGTGTGCTGCGCCATGTCGGGAGACGTTCGACGACGTGAAGGCGTGCAAGAAGACGTGCACGACTTCCGACGACGCTCAGACGTGCGAGAAAAGCTGCGACCATCTCCACAGCATCTACAGCGAGAAACCCGGCTCCTGTCCGACCTTCCTCAACACTTCCAACTATGTAGGCTTTGGGAGAAAACTAAAATTTTGCCTAATCGGAATTTCTCAATAGATCTTCTAGAGGTCCATCTTTCTCATTTAAGGAGTGCACAGCGCTGTGCCATTTGGACGGCGACTGTCCGGAGACGTCGAAGTGCTGTTCCTACGGCTGCAGTCGGCAATGCGTCAGACCGAAGGCCAGCGACGTCAAACTGCTGCCCATCCCGAGGAACATCACCGTCCAGGAACGCAAACGCAAAAGGTATCTTGAAGCTCTTCGTCAAGGTCTTATGATGTCGTTCAGGTCGATAATCATCCGATGGGCGACCGGAAGACTCTCCAAGGACCAGGCCAACAGCAACTCCAACTTGTTCCTGGTGCAGTGGCGCTGGGGCCTCCACACCGACGATTCGGCGATGACCGACTGGCAGACCGTCACTGTTGTCAGTTTATCTATCTTTGAATTCGTTGAAAAACAGGACGTCTTATCTTTCAGAAATCAATCAATCAATCAGTATTGATTTAGTTGTTCTAATCATAGATGTAATCACAGAGAAGTGAGAAGGTAAAAAATGAAAATAAATTCAAAAAAAAAAAATCAACTAAAGGGGTCATGAATGCTTTTTTTCAGAGAAATAAGCCCTACGCGATCCTGAAACACTTGCTGTCGCCTGGAAGGTTCTACGAGTTCCGGATAGCCGCCGTTTCGAAAGATGGAAGTCTTGGGTACAGTGTCCACTCCACTCCTTTCAAAATCTCTAAAGGTTACCCAGAAAATAGAACCTTTCTTCAAAAAAACCTTCTTAGAAGCCAAAGCTCCCCCGCCGCCCAAGGACATTTCTCTGGGAGCGGCTCGTTTGACGCCAGTTGGCCTCTGGAATCAACTCGTTCAGTGGCACCCGCCTCCGAGCGACTTGCCGATCAAAAACTATCAAGTATTCCGTGAAATCCTGCTTCGGAGTTGACATACTTGTTCAGATATCTTGGGCGGTCTCGTCCAAGGCCGAGGCAGACGCTTTCGAAGAAATGATGAGGAGGAAGGCCGTGCTGGAAACTCCGGAGAAACGGAGTCTCGACGACGACGAAGAGGCCTGGAGCATCGACGGGAGGTAGATTTCAGCTCTGAAAGAATCAAAACACCATTTTCAAAAAGAGAGGAAAAAATGGTTTTCTTGTTTTTGTCAACGAAGAAAAAAATATACAATTTGGAAGAATGTGACTATTTCATTCCGAATGATGTTCAGAGACCGGCACTCGGTGATCGTTCCCAGCCACTCGACCCACACCGAAGTCTCCGGACTTTTCCCGAACTCGGTCTACATCGTCGAAGTGCACGCTTCGGTCGACAGCACCGAAGGAGAATTGCACGGCGAGAAAGGCGTCGTCTTCGTGAGGACGGCCGATTCGACGGTCGCCGTCATCGAGTCCTCGACGAGCAAATCCGAAGACGACGATGACGCGGGCAAGGAGAGCGAAGAGTTGACCGTAGAAGCCGAGAAACCGACCCTCGACGTCAGTACTATCAGCAGCAACCACGTCGTCGAACCTTCCCTCGAAATTCAGAAGCCGTTCTTCGATGGAGAGCTTCAGGTAAATCTTTCAGTCATGACCTTCTGAAACCACGAATTTTCAGACGAACCTGAACTGGTTGAACTCGGCGTCGTGCTCGCCCAAAAAGAAGCGATTCGTGGTGCGAGTCCGGAAAACACTTTGCAGGGAGTACCAGCCGAATCACCACTCTGACACTAGGTAAGTGAAGTGAGAGTTCGAAATTATGAATTTAAAAAAAAAAATCGAACTCAAGTATATGAGAATTCAACAACGCCATGTTTCAGATGGCACGACGTTCAAGTGGACGAATGCGTCGCATCGCTGAAAGGCCTGTCTTTCGACTGCGACTACAAGGTGGAAGTTAGCGAAGCGGCGACCGGCAAGCCGATCGTCGACGGCGTCTTCGCGACTGAAACCTGCGAACAGACGACGTCGCTGTCGCCGATCCCCTGCGCGACGCTCACCTCGCCCATCACGTGCCACGTCAGCGACCGCTCAGCCCGCTGCCACTGGCCGCGACACCACGACCCCATGGATACAGTAATCGGCTACCGTATCCTGCTGGCCTCGCCGATCAGCCACGACACCAACATCACCATCAATCAGCCGCAGTTGCGCGAGGTCCGCTACGAGGACCTAAGGCCCGGCGTCGTCTACACGGTCGAAGTGCAGTCCATCACGAACCGAGGCCTCGGTCGGACCGTCTCCACGCAATTCATGACGTCAGACCACTTGGACCACACCTTCATCGAACGGTTCCCAGGTGGAGAGATCGTTGAGCTCCCTCTAGAGTCTAGCACTTCTTCAAGAGTTTTGCTCCTTTCTTTCGTCATTATTCTGTTGCTTAGGTTATGGTGAATTCAGAATTCGTCCGCATGATTTTAAGCTGCGTCAATGTGCAACCGTGATTAGGTTTACACAAACATTTTCGATTTCACGGATTTTAAACTTGTTCCCGGTATCACATTTACGCAATTTGAATCTTTTTGCTTAAGAGTTCAAGCATGAAGAGAATCTTGATGGTTTCGCCAAAATTTTAGACTTTTCGAAATTCAAATTGGAGTTGAGTTCGCCCTTTATAGAGTCTGCGAGCAAGTTTTCAAAGATATTAGGCGAAATTTCAGGTTCCTTCAGGATTCTCTTCAAGTTTTCATCCCACTCAGAAAAAAAAACATGTGATCTAAGTCATTCCGCGGTCAAGATTTCATTTGCAAGTGCCTAAGAATCATCTTTTCTTTATTAAAATTTCTCTCTTTACGGGCCTTTTAGTCAACTTTTTCATGTTTTCTGTAAGACTGATTGTTGTATTTCCTTTGCGGGTTCTTATTTGTTACTTAAAATTTTTATATTTGTATATAGCTCTAAATAAAGTTTAAAAAAATAAAAATTTAATTTTCGTGTATGACACAACACAATGAAAAAACAGATTAATGTATTTTTATATTCATTTCTGTGAAAGAGTTCGATTTTTAATTTAAACTGAACAGTTTAGAAAAAATTATCACAAGCTTGCCAAACTGGGGAAAAACCCTAGTGGCCACTTAAGAGCTTCAAGGACTACTTGGAGATGACACTAAAACCACCTCTATAAAAGCCGCCGTTGCTTCTTAGTGATCACTATAGTAGTTTTTAGTAGTCCAGTACCACTTAGACTCCTAAAGAGGGAGGCCACTCAAGTGGCCGCTAATTCGACCACTATAATGGCCACTTAAACGTCAAAACCCTAAAGTGGCCGCTAAAATTTTTTTCAGTGATGAGCAACAAGACCAAAAAAGAAATTCACGCCTACTTCGTGACGCGAGTCAAAAAATATTGAAACTTCGGATTTTCTTATAATTTTTGTGTTTTCTGCATTTGAAAAAACCAAGGCGTTTCTTTTTTTTCCATTTTTCGAAATATACCGGTATAAAAAATTCCAAAGATCGCTGCAGAAAAAAACAGTTTAAAAAAAAGCTAGAAGCGTTAAAGTCGTTGGAAAATTCTCAGACAGAAGTCGCCGACGACTTGTTCGTACTCATAGAAGTCGTCTGCTCTTTCTGAAAAACTCTTTATTGTCAAAGATTATCTTTTTAGAAAAAAAGTTTAATTTTTCAACTGACAGTGTTTGTGAGCGAAGAAGGCGTTTTCTGCGAGGAGATTAGACTTTCTGGATTTATAGACGGTTCCTGTTCGTCGGGTTGATCTGATTTTTTTATTATGTTTTAAAAAAATATTATCAAATGACTCTCAGTCAAAAACCAACTTTTCTTCGTTTCATAGTACTTGCAGATCGAAAAACCGACAAAAACGGAAGATAACGCCAAGAAAATCGAGATAATAATCATTGCAACGAGAATTGTTCGATCCTCTTTCGTTTCTGCAAGTTTAATAACAATTAAAAATCATGAAAAAAAAAGAAAATTTTATTTACTTGATTGAATATATTAGTAATTTTTAGTTTCGATTATTTAGTTATTTGAAAAAAAAAAATGTATCACCTTCTGGAAGGACGCCCTTGAAAATAATTTTACAAGTGCCTGGACCTGTCGGCTGGCTCACCATCCACTGTAGCCTGAACAACGATTCAAACCTGCAAAAATGGATTTATTTTATTTTTTTACAGGTGATGCGTCGAAAAACTCGAAAACTCACGTTTCCGGAGTGTAAAAGGAGCGGTAGAACATTTTGTCGTCTATCATCGCCACTTGATTTTCCTGAAAACGTTTTTAGATCCAAAAAATCCCAATAGCGTCTTTTCAAAATTCTATATATATTTCTATTCAGCAATAATTTCCCCGAGACTTTTCTGATTGCTGTTTCTTCCAGTGTATCTAAAAAAATGTTTGAATCAACTTTTGGTTCCACGATTTTTGATCGATTAAAAAACAAAGATCCCGCAACCGAAAATATTTCAGGATAAGAATCTTCATCCGAAAAGTAGCTATATCTTTGAAAACCGTCCAAATTTTGAGCCTCTCCGTTTTTTTCATAGGTTTTCTATAAAATTCTGAATCAGCTCAAATCTCTACGTTGACTAAAAAAATATTTAGAATTATATTAGCTTCAACTTGGCTTCACAAATTTTGTATAGCCAGCTTCATGATTTCACTAAACGGTTTCGACTCGCAAAAATTATTTTGGAAATTTTGAACCTGATATCAGACAGTTCGCAGAAAAAAACTACATCAAAATGGTAATATTCAAGCATTCGAAACTTAAGTTTTCCCACAAAAAACTCCGAAAATGTTCAATCTTTGGTTCACGAAACGGTCATTTTTTTTTCTGCATGCAGTTCTTAAAACGGAAATAAATTTCAAAACGAATTCTATGAAACAATGACTTTAAGCTCTAGAAGATATTTTATTTCCATTTGAAAAAAATTGAAAAATTATAGGAAATCTAAAAAAAAACTGATCTACCCCTGCTGAAATTCGATTCAGTTTCGGGAAGCTGAATTTATAGAGATTTTCATTGCTCTCAAAGATGATGCCATGGCCTAAAAAATGAGGCGAGGTTAAAATTCAAACTTAAAAGAAAACCGTCCGGATTAGAAACTTCTTTCAACTCGGGGAACAAATTCATGTCAGCAACTTGAATGTTCTTGATAACCAATCCAGCATTTATCGTCTCCACAGTGCGCAGTTTGTTCGCAATAAACAAATAATCTATTTGAAAAAAATTAAAAATGAACTTAATAGAGAATTACCTTGGACGTCGACATCGGAAACGATCAACTGATGGCTGACGATTGAAGTGCACCCTTCTGGAAGTTTTCTCACCTCCTTCCCGACACAGCCTGTTCGTTTTCGAATCAAGAAACAATTTCAGTGTACAAATATATAAAATAGGAGTCTACAGTTGTTTGAAGAGATTAGAGAAGCAAGATTATATAAAGAAATTTGATGAGCGAAATTTTTTTCATTTGAAACGTGAAAAAGTGTTCGTTGGCGCGCTGAAGTTGCTTCGAAACAGAATTTTTTTGACCTGGTGCTTTTTTTGGAATAAATAAACTTCTTTATCCGATGAACACGCCAATAAATGAATTGCGCTCTTATAATTTAAAAACAATGGAATTTATCGTCCTAGGTTCCTCTTGAATTCACCAAACGGCGGTGTAAACTAGTTTATATATTTACAAGAAGCATTTCAAAAAACAAAGTCGAATGCAAATTTCATCACATTTTTTTGAAATATATGACGAAAAAACTGACTGTTAGCCTGAACAAGAGTAGGTTGAAGGATAAGCGATAGACACCAAACAAAAAAGCACAGTTCGCGTAGAACCATTGATAAAAATGTTATTTATTTCACGCAAGTTTATGCCGTGTTCAAAGTAATTTCCGCGAAATGCAAAATGATCTCTGACTCTCCAAAATTTAGTGATCTTTTCCTTTCTCTGACGGCTATTTTGAATTTCGCGGAATCACTTTGAACACGGCATTATTTTGTGATGTTTTCTGAACGACATGCCACATATCGAGTGTTTGAAATTTTTGCATTTCGGTCATGATCGAAAATATCATTCCATGGTAATGTTATTACAAAATATTGTATGTTAACGTGCTTAGCCCAGTTTTGGGAGACAGCTTGAAGATGACGTCGATAAGTGCCATAGAAACCGTACGCCGATGGATATGACCCACCGTAGTGTCACATCCATTATTTACCTTCTGGCCCCTAGCTAGATCATTTCGTAGTATTGGTTTAGACGCTTTCCCAGAACATTAAAAAAAAATAAATCAAGACTATCTACCTTCACATCTCTTCATACTTCTCAAAAAAGGAAAAGCCATTTCCGAAAAACGTCTTTCAATATTTCGAGCATAAAAAATTTATACTTTCTCGATTTAAAAAAAAAGAAAAGAAATTGAAGTGTGAAATGTGCAATTGAAATACTAAACCAGGAAAAAAGTAACAGTAAAAAAACAAAACCAACAGTCTCGATTCTAAGAAAACCTTCCAGCGAAAACAATTACAACCCTATCCTAAACAAACTAGGAACTCTAAAATGAAATTATACCAGCTTTGAGAGAATTTGAAACTCAAACGAAGATATGGCAGAGATCAGAAAGAAGCTTCACAGTGCGAAAACTGAGAAAAAGAGTTTATTTGGCGGGCTTCAAGTCGCCTTCTCGGTTCCAGCCTTCCAGGCCTTTCGGTAGTTGGGTTTGCTCATCGAGGCCTACAAAAATCCGAATCAACGCGTTGAACCTTTCAGAAAAAATCGATATCAGGAAGATCTCAGAAGTTGAAGTCTGAGCTTGGGTACTAACTATTTTTTTGCCGCTTTCGAAGTGAATCCGCGCGCGAAATTCAAAATTGCCGTCAGAGAATAAAAAAGATAACTAAAATTAGAAGTTTCAGAGGCATTTTGAATTTCGCGGAAATTAGTTTGAACACGGCATTACTGTTCAAAGCGGATATTTTAAAGCGAATTATTATAGTTCAGCGATAAGGCATGTTCTAAAACACGAGCGGTTGTGGGGCACGAGCGGCACGACCGTTACTAAATCACGAGCGGTTTCATTTTCGCTCCTTCGCGAACGCTTCTAAATCACGAGCGTTTTTGGCTTATCGTTCTGTTCGAGCGTTTCTAAATCGCGAGCGTTTCATTTTAATCATTTTCTTTATTACCATCCAAGTGTGTGTTTTTCATATTTCTACCTTCTTTTTTTCTCCTTGAATACAAATTTTTGACGATCTTATATGCACATTTTTTTTCGCTCAATTTGTTGATTGATTCACATTTGAGGTTCATATAATGGATTTTTTTCTAAGTTTTTTTGCGGTCTCTATAATTTCACAGATTCTGCGTATGGCAAATTTTTTTCTAATAATTTCATCTGATTTTCATATTCAATATTTCACAGATTTTTGCGTATGATAAACTAATATTTCACAGACGTCTCGCATGAAAGTCAATATTTCTCAGATTTTGCTTATGACAAATTAAAAAAT